AGGAAGGGGGGGGGGGTTAGGGGGATGGGGAGGCCCAAGATAATCTCCCGAGCTGTTATGCAGCATGACTCCCACAGCATAGTCATGAGGCGCTACATAGGAAAACGTAATATAGGCATATCGCTAAGGGCGGGCTAGATAGGGGGGCATTCTATAGAAATAGTACATGGCTTCGCATAGGATACGCAAATGTGGGCAGGATAATTATAAAGGCATCGCATAGAAATAGTAAATAAGCATCGCCATAGAAATAGTAATAAGGCAATCGCATAGAAATATAATATGGCATCGCAGAGAATAGTAATAAGTAGCATAGAAACAACGTAATAAGGCATAGAAATAGAAATAAATAATTGAAGGCATCGCATAGAAATGCAAGAAAGGGCATCGCATAGTAAAGATAATCATTTTAATTTTAAATTATTTATTTAATTATTTAATTATATTTAATATTTACTTATCTAATATTTAATTATATATATATTATATTTATTATATATTTATTATATTTATATTTATATTAATATATATATATTATATTATATTATATAATTATTATTATATTTAATTATTTTAATAATTTTAATTTTAATCATAATTCATGACGTAGAAATAGTAACATGGCATCGCATAGAAATGGTCAGATGATACCGCATAGATAACGTAATCAAGGTATCACATAGAAATGGCATGAAGGCAGAAACGCAATGGTGCATCGCATAGAAGACGTCAAGGGGGGGAGGGGGGGAGGGGAAGACACGTGGTTTGTGTTGTGGTTGGGTCTGGATCTGTTGTGTTTGTAAGGGCTAATTTGTTTGTTTTTTTTTTTTAGTCCTGTGAGTTGTGGCTGTGGGGTTTCAAAGGGGTTTGTATGTTGTGTGTGGTCACGTAGACTTTTTTTTTATGTGGGGGCATTGCCGTAAATATTAGTTGTATGTTTTATTATTATATATATATATATATATATATAATATAGATATATATATATTATATATATATATATATATAGTTATATTAGGTTCGTCTTGCATTCAAGGTTGTTTTGGGGTTAATTGTCGCTGCGTCTCTCTCTCTCTTTTCTCTCTCTTCTCTTTCTTTCCCTCTCTCTCCTCTCTCTTTCTTTCTTTCTTTCTTTCTTCTTTCTTTCTTAATCTTATCTTCTCTTTCTTCTCTTTCTTTTCTCTCTCTCTCTCTCCTCTCTCTCTTCTCTCTCTCTCTCTCTTCTCTCTCTCTCTCTCTCTCTCTCTCTCTCTCTCTCTCTCTCTCTCTCTCTCTCTCTCTTCTTCTCTCTCTCTCTCTCTCTCTCTCTCTCTCTCTTCTTCTCTCTTCTTTCTTTCTCTCTTCTCTCTTTTCTCTTCCTCTCTTCCTCTCTCTTTCTCTCTCTCTCCTCTCTCTCTCTCTCTCTCTCTCCTCTCTCCTCTCTCTCCCTCTCTCTCCTCTCTCTCTCTCTCTTTCCTCTCTCTTCTTTCTCTCTCTCTCTCTCTTCTCTCCTCTCTCTCCCCTCTCTTTCTCTCTCTCTCTCTCTCCTCTCTCTCCTCTCTCTCCTCTGCTCTCCTCTCCCTCATCTCTTCCTCTCCGTCTCTCTCCCTTTCTCCTCCCTCACTCATCTCTCCCCTCTTTCCTCCCTCCTCCCGTCCTTCCCTCTCCTCCTTCCTTCTTCCTTCCCTCCCCTCCTCCCTCTCCTGCCCTCTCTCTCTCTCTCTTTCTCTTTCAATGTTCACTCGGTGAACTTTGGATCTTCTTCCATTCAGGTTTTTTATCTTGGGTTAATTGTCAGACTGGAATTCCGGTTCGTTTTGCGGATGATCTCGTTATAACTGCGGTTCGATCCTGGTTGAACTGGTTGGTGTTGGTTGGTGTTGTGTTGTTGTTGTGTTTTGTGGTGTTTAGTTTGTGGTTGGTGTTGTTGGTCGTGGTTTGTAGTTGTTGGTGTGGTTGGTGGTTGTTGTTGTTGGTTTTGTGGTTGGTGTTTTGTTTGGTTGTGTTGGTGTTGTTGGTGTGTTTATTGGGTTGGTAGTGGTTGGTTTGTTGTTGGTGTTGTGGTGTGGTTGGTGTTGTTGGTGTTGTGGGTGTATGGTGTGGTTGGTTGTGGTTGGTTGTGAGGCGCGGTGGGTGTGGTTGGTTGTTGTTGGTGTTGTGGGTGTTAGGTGTTGGTTGGGTGTGGTTGGTGGTGGTATTGGTGTTTGTTGCGATAGGCGTTGCGGGGAGCCTGGCTGGGTTGTGGGGTGCAGTGTGAAGTGGTTGTGCCGCGAGAGGAAGTGTTGCGCGCTCGTATCCGACAATCCTCGGTGAAGTGTCCTTTGAATAATGTAGGTCGTTTGGTAATGTGATTTTTTTTGGGGGGGGGGGCGTTTGGGGTGGTCTGGGGGATGTATATTTTTACACTGGCTGTTTTATTTATTTACTTTCTCTCTCGCTCCGTCACCTCATCTCGATCTGTCGTCTTGCCACACCAGACCTCTCCCTTCTCGTCTCTTCTATCTCTCTCGTCTCTTCCTTCTCTCTTCGTCTCCTCTCTCTCTCATCTCATCTCTCTCTCTCGTCTTTCTCTCATCTCTCTCTTTCTCTCTCTATCTCTCTCTTCTGTCTATTCTATCTATCTATCTATCTATCTGCTATTCCCGTCTCTCTCTTCTCTATCCTCCTCTCTCATCTATTCTATCTCCTCTCTTTCACACACACACACACACACACACACGTGTATATAGATAGATAAATATATAGATACAGATGTACGTATATCTCTAGTCGTTTGTTCGTGCTTAAGGATGTCCGTTGCTTCGAAATCCGTTGTTGTGATTTATAATAAATTTGGATTTTTTTTCCATAAGCTATCGCCATAGATAATTTGTCGGGACGGATGTGGCAGGAATCTGGTATATTGTGTTTGGGGAAAATATGTGAGACATACGTAATGAGTCCCATAATGGACCTTTTAGGCGTAATTAACGAAAGGAATATTCATTTTTAAGTAGTTATTATTCGAGTTGTTGCGTTGTTTTTAGATCTAGTTAACGAAAGGAGTGTTAAGTTGTTGTTTTTTTAAGTTTTATATTCATTTTTAAGTAGTTATTATTCGAGTTGTTGTGTTGTTTTTAGATCTAGTTAACGAAAGGAGTGTTAAGTTGTTTTTTAAGGTTATTTTTTTCCCCTTGGTTGTGTTGTCGGTCGTAATGAAAGCATCTGACGTAGAAGATGATGCTGTGAAGAGTGTGGCTTCGTTTTGGTGTTGTCGGGCAGGTCGATGACTGTGGTGTCGGTAGTGGTCGGGAATCGGTTGGCTGTGGTGTTAGCGGTGGTCGGGAGGCGGTTCTTGACCCTGGTGAATGGGGGAGTGTGTGCTCATGAATGGGAAGGCGGGGGGAGGGAGGGGGGATGTGTGCGTGTGGTTGTATGTGTGTGTCAAAGGGAGAAAGAGAGAGAATAAGTAAGTGTGAGTGTGTGTGTTTTTTCGTGTCCGTGCGTGGTCGCGTGGGTGTGAATGAGTGCGAGTGCGGCGCGTTCGTTCGTGCGTGCGTGCGCGCGAGGAGAGGCCGGGCGAGTAGGAGCAACACGTGGTGGCGGTGCCGGCCGGCGTGGGGCGGCTGGGGGACAGGTTGCCGGCACACCTGTGTTAGCGGCGCTACGCTCGCTCGCCAGTTACTCCGTCCCTCCTCTCGCTCGGCGCACATACGTCGCTCTCGCTCCTGCTCCCGCTCCTGCTCCTGCTCCTGCTCGGTACACGCACCGCGCGACACGAGCACGCGACCCGCCTCAGTCTCGGGGCTTCGGTGTGTCTCTCGACGGCCCGCTTCTCGAGTGGATTTCGGGTGCGGTGGATTTGGTGCCTTCGAACCGGCGGAGTGCTTCGGAATTCCGTGTCTTGGGGATCGCGAGAACGACCTTTCGGAAACCCATATGTTGCTCGAACCTCGCCGGCGACCGCTGTGAAATCGGGAGAGAGAGAGGAAACGAAAAAGAAGCCGGCGTTTTGTTCGTGTGCAATTTGGGGACTTCGATTGCTGCAATTACGGGGACGTCGACCCGAAATCCGAGACATTAGTGGATTAGAGGACCTGATCCCGGGTCTCTCCCCGGCGTGAGAGCCGCTCGAGCTGTGCTTCTGTATTCTCAACGCTCGAGTGAGAGCTCCCCCCTCCCCCCAGTCTCCCTCGCTCAAGCGACGCAAGCACTCGAGCGATGCCTGTCGCGGAGGGCTGACGGAGACCCTGCCTGCGAGCGTGGAGCGAAGCCTCGCGCCGGCCGGCCCTCAGAGGACGCGGAAGGCAGCGGGCCCGAGCGCTCCCTCCAAGCATGCCTCCAGCGGCGCTCTCCTTCAGCCGCTGTGTCGTCTTTAGGAGGAAGAACTCCGGCTTGAGGAACTGCGGCGTGGAGAGCCAGCGTGAAGGCCGCGCGCGCGACGCCCGTCAACGCTGAGCGCTGCCCCCATGACGCGCCGCTGCTGCTGACGCTCTACATGCGATCGCAAGGTCGTGGAGTGCGGCGGGAAGGAACACTCGAGGCGCTGCCGATATCGATCACAATTGCCAAGTACCTCTCGAGAACATCAACGCTAAATAAGACGCTAAGGCTTGCAAAACCCGGGATTGTTGAATAATTCACAAGAACGCGACCTTGTTAGATTTTGAAATCAGTTGACAGTTCTCCGGCACAAGGATTATTGAACCTTGTGTTTTAAAACAGGTGTTGCGTGTGCCGATTGCAAAGTGTTGTTGTGGGAGTGTGTGCGAGCATGCAGTGCCGGGGGGCGGAGGACGGCTTCCTGTGAGCGGTGAAAGCATCGTCGGGAAGGAAATACCCGCGGTGCCCTTGCGATGACGGAGGCCCGTGTCTGAGGCGTTGACACGTGTTTTTTCTATCCCCTTTTCTCTTGTGTTTTATTTTTTCTGGTTTTTTCTTCTCTCTCTCTCTCTCTCTCTCTCTCTCTCTCTCTCTCTCTCTCTCTCTCTCTCTCTCTCTCTCTCTCTCTCTCTCTCTCTCTCTCTCTCTCTCTCTCTCTCTTGTTATCGTCTTTCTCGTCCTGTGTCTCTGCTCCCCCTCCCCCCTGAAATGGCCTCCCCGTCGGTGGTTTTGGACATGTACCTGGAGGAGGACGAAGAGGGCGACCATTCGTATTCCATGTCCTCGCCCTTGCGTGCTTCCCCCTCGCCTCCGCCGCCTCGCCCCGTCTTCTCCAACCTCCTGTCAGGTCAGTCGAGGGCGGCATCCTCGCCTCATTACCGGGTCTCGGCGTGCCTCTGTTTCGCCTCTTCCACCTCCTTCGTACCTGCCACGATTCCTTCCTCTTCTTCTTCTTCTTCTTCTTCTTTCGCAGTCTCTCCGCCCCTCGTTTCTCAAAAATTTCTCCGTCCTTCGCCTCCCATAACCTTCCCGTGACCTACCTCAGAGACGACTGCATTCATCCACTCTGACTCCTCTGCGCCTCCCCCCTCCCCTCCCCCCCCTCCACCGTCATTCCCAACTCCAACCCTTCTTCTTCCTCCCCCTTCCATTGCCTCTTCTCCCTTCTCCTATCCTTCCTCCACCCATATTTCCTTCATATATCCCTATCCTCAACCTCTTCCTCCTCATGTACCGTATTCTCTTCCTTAAACCCCTATCCTGTACCCCCCTCATTATACCCCTATCCCTCATCCCCTCCTTATGCCCAACCCTCAGCTCCTCCTCATACCCCCACCCCCGCATCCCCTTCTGATTCCCCCTTATCCCGTTATCCTCCTTATACCCCTACCCCCCCCCCCAGGCCTCCCTCATACCCCACCCACCGCGCCCCCTTCTGATACCCCAACCTCGTACCCCGTGTCTCATTGCCCACGAAAAAATGCAACATCATCACCTTTTCCTTATTTTCCAAACTCGCGTCGTGATATTGGGAGTTTGCAAATGATTGTCGTGTATGATGGGGGTGTTTTGTTGTTGTTTGTTGTTTGTTGTTTGTTGTTGTTGTTCTTTGGGAAAGATGGATGTTTTATTTTGTGTTCTTGGTTGTTATTTTTTTTTCTTTCAAGAATTGCGTTGCATGCTGTTTACTTGTGACTGTGTGTATTTTTAGATTTTGTTTATTGTTGTGAAGTTTTGTTATTTTTCTCGATAATTTACATACGGTATTTATTTATTTACTGTTTTATTTATATATTTATTTATTTTACTGTCTTTGTATTCTTTTCAAGTTAATTCCATTTTTTCCTTTTGTAGTTTTCTTTTCATTCACAGTAAGTGGACGTATTTTATGCATGCAGTGTACGGTCTTGTGGATGATAAATACATACACGTGGGTGTGTGTGCGTACATCCGTGCGTTTACCTCTGTGTGTGTGTGTGTGTGTGTGTGTATGTAGGTATTTCGTTATCGGTGCTTTATATGTATAAGTTCCTTTTTTTCTCATTTTATTTTCTTTCCTCTTCGTCTCTCTCTCTGACACGTGTGTGTATTTGTTCGTCCGTGCGTGCGTGCTTAAGTTTGCCGCTGTGTGTGTGTGCGTTCGCGTTTGTATCCGTGTTTGTGTCTTTGGACACGTGTATATGAATGTGCACACCTTACGTAGCCCCGGCCATGCAACAAGGGAGTTTATGGAAATGACTTTCAGCATTCATGCTTGTTGCTCCATCCGGGAAGTTGTCTGTTCAGTTTGACTCCGGTCTGCATCTACTTCTGTCTCTTCCTGTCTCTCTTTCTTTCTATCTTTTTTTCGGTTTCTTTCTTTTTTGTCTTCCTTTCATTTTTTTTTTTCATCTGGTGTTTTTTTTTTATTTTGAGGGGAAGAAGAGAGAGACGATCATAGAAAGAAAGGGAAGAGGAGAGAAAGCGAAAAAGAAAAAGGAAAAAAAAAAACAATAAAGGGGAAAAATATACAAAGTTATCATCCCTTATCGGTTCTCTATGCCCCCTCCCCCTCCCCCCTCCCTTCCCCCTTCCCTCCCTCTCCCTCTCCCTCCCCTTCCCCTTCCCCTTCCCTCTCCCTCTCCCTTCCCCTTCCCCTTCCCTTCCCCTTATTAGGTTTAGGTTCGTTTAGGTCGCCTTTGTGTAATTATCGATGTGTAATTGCCCCATTCGGTGTGGTCCGTCAGCTCGCCAACCCAACCAACAAGTGTTCGCCAGTCTCCATAGTGACGCGACCAAACACAACCTGTTCCGTGGCCGATGGAACTCGGGAAGAATTCTTTTTAATTTTTGTTTTTCATGTTTGGTTGTTGTTGTTGTTGTTGTCTGTGACTTGGGCGCTGGAACTGGCCGCTCGGAAGGAACTCTTTTTTTTTTTTTTTTTTTTTTTTTTTTTTTTTTTTTTTTTTTTTTTTTTTTTTTTTAGGTTTGGTTGGTTGTGTTGGTGTTGTTGTTGTTGTTGTTGGTGGTGGTGGTGGTGTTGTCTGTGACTTGGTTGCAGGATGCTGGCATCTTGGAGGAAGTCTTTTTTAATTTCCGCTTTTTTTTTTTTTGTAGGTTGGTGGTGGTGTTGTTGTTGTTGATGTTGCTGTTGTGTTTGCCTGTTCCTTGGGCGGTGGA